TAGTAAATCCATTTTGCACTTACAATATTTTCAACTTAGGGATGTAACCCCATCATAAGTCAAGGTGCATGTTGTAGACAAGTGAATCTTGTCTTTTATGTACTCACGAATCAGTCCCACTAAATCTATATGTTTAGTCTGCATCAATATCACATTTTTTAGAGTTATAATAGCTTTAGAACGTATTTTGTTATCTAGGAGAGCAAATCTCTTGTTCTTCTTTCTCAAAACTAATTAAGCTATTCTTGAGAACTTATTTTTGTTATAAATTTTAAAATTATGTTTTTGAATTATACAAAAATCCTTTAGTTATAATACCATATTCAGTAAGTAATTTGGAGAGGACCGGCATTTTTACAATATTGAACAGTACTATCCAACATTTGTTTATTTATATTGTCTGTTATGTCCTTAATAAAATTTGATAGTTTTCTTTACAATGTACATTTCTCATCATTTTATGGCTGAGTATTTTATTTCTATTATGAATCCTTTTCCAATTACATATTCTACTGAATTTGTGCCAATGATTAGAATATCTATTTATTTTGATAAATATACGTTTAAAAATACATTTTATCAAAGCAATATATGCACATATTTTGAAAAAATCAAACAGTACACAAGGGCATAATAATTCTTTTCCATTTCTCAGTTCACCAACCCAGACCAAAAACTTTTACATGTGTTTGTTTTTAGTTATTCCGGTAGTTGCCTACATTTTTAAAAAATATGTTCTTCTTACTTTTTCTTGACTTGATGACTGGGGGTACTTTTTGTTGACTCCCTGTTGTCTCTGGCTTTCCTCGCCACTCAATTTGGCTATATCACATTTTTACCTCCTTTTTTGGTGACCTTGGTTACTTTCACAATCTAATACCCAAGGCTGGGCGTGGTGTCTCATGCCTATAATCCCAGTACTTTGGGAGGCCGAGGCAGGCAGATCATGAGGTCAGGAGTTCGAGACCAGCCTCGCCAACATGGTGAAACCCCGTCTCTACTAAAAATACAAAAATTTGCTGGGCGTGGTGGCACGCGCTTGTAATCCCAGCTACTCAGGAGGCTGAGGAAGGAGAATCGCTTGAACCTGGGAGGCTGAGGTTGCAGTAAGCCAAGATTGAGCTACTGCACTCCAGCCTGGGCAACAGGACGAGACTCAGTCTCAAAACAAAACAAAACAAAACAAAAACTAATACCTAAACCTCTGACTAATTAAACTAAAGATAAAATTCTCCATATTCTATTTCATGAAGACAATAGCACCGCCACTATTCCATGTACATTTCCTTCCCTCTCTGCCTTCCAACCTGTTAACTGTACTTGTACATTTTCAAGGCTGCTAACATTTGCATTCTATTTGGTAATCATAATTCATTCTTCCCTGTTTTGTCCAAGGATTGACTCTAAAAGCTGAAAACCAATATTTATATCATCATGATTATTTAAATACTATCCACTGAAAAACAAAGTTTTATGCTACAATTAGATTTTCTCATCTATTTCTTTAAAGCCTTGACCCACATGACAATGTTCAAAGGAATTCCCTTTCTCACAGTCCTAGCAACTGTTCAAAATCATGCCACATCTGAGGGTGCTTTATATTTGAAGCACGCTTTCTTATGAAGTTTGAAAGGTTTCTTTCTCCCTTTTCTGATTGTCATTGTTTTGTTTTTGGTGGGGGGGGTGGCACAGATGAAGAAATGTATGCTTTCTATGTATATATCATGTCCTTACTTTTTTTCACCTTCTTACTCAATCTATTAATTACTTAAAATTCATTTCATTTAGTTTGAGGTCTACACACTTCCTATTCTAATTTGGAGGATCTGCCTCTCATTTGGACCATTCTTACACAATTTAAGTTTTTTGTTGCATTCTTCTTATGAAATATTTATTTTAATAAATGTAAGAGTTATTTTTAATGCATCTAGTACCTATCTACATTTTGCAAAGTTAATGCTGCTTTTGTTTTATGGATGCGATAGTTTCTTAAATATTTCTGAGAATTTTAATGTCTTTAGGTTTGGTTCTGTTCCTTGAATTTCATATGACCTCAAGAGTCTATTTCTCATGTTATCTTAGATCTTTTTGGTCATATTGCAGGCTTTTAGCAAGTGGTGATTTTTAGCCAGACAGGTCTACAGGCAGGGCTGGTCACTACACTCCAGGGTGGGTGAGCCAGTACATGGGAATCAGCCATCTTGCCAGGCCCCCAGAGACACAAAGGTAGTAGTGGCTCTAAATATGTATGTGTAGGCAGACACTGAACATCAAAGTAGGGGAAGTCTATGATCAGTTACCGTGCCACATGGAAAAAGGGGGAGCAGTATACACCTGAACCCTTGCTGAAGAGTCCTTCCCTAACCAGCCTTTCTTTCTTTTCTTTTCTTTTTTTTTTTTTTTTTTTCAGACAGGGTCTCACTCTGTTGCCCAGGCTGGAGTGTAGTGGTGGGATCTTGGCTCACTGCTGCAACCTCCGCCTCCCGGGTTCAAGTGATTCTCATGCCTCAGCCTCCCAAGTAACTGGGATTACAGGCAGGCATCACCATGCCTGGCTCATTTTTATATTTTTTGGTAGAGGCAGGGTTTCACCACATTGGCCAGGCTCCTAACCAGCCTTTCTAAAGTGGTTGGTCTAAAGTAACCCTCACTTATTCTCACTCTCAACAGCCCTTGTATTTTCTTCATAAAAGGAATTGATAATGTATTTCTTATTCACTTCTTCATTTGGTTATAGTTTGCCTGTGACACTACTGTACAAATAAATTCTATGAATGCAAAGCCTTTGTCTATCCTGTTCACTGCTATATCCACAAAACACATACTAGTCAATCAATATTTCTTGAAAAAGGTATGAACACTTACATACTCCTCAGAACCAATTCCACTAACAAATCTCAATTCTATACTACAATAAAAGAAAATTCGAATTAGCATAAGAGATGTAAATAACATAATATCCTAGTGATATATTTAGGGTAATCAATTTTGTGATTGTAACTTGCAAAATGCTAATTTCATTTTATTTTTACTGTCCTATACACACATATATACACACAAACAAAGTCAAGTATACAACTACATTATTCAGAGGGTAATATAATATTTATGCCTTTCTTTTTTGTTTTTGAGATGGAGGCTCACTCTATTGCCCAGGCTGGAGTACAGTGGCATGATCTCAGCTCACTGCAACCTCCGCGTCCTGGGTTCAAGCGATTCTCCTGTCTCAGCCTCCTGAGTAGCTGGGATTACAAGCATGCGCCACCACGCCCAGCAAATTTTTGTATTTTCAGTAGAGACAGTGTATCACCATGTTGGCCAGGCTGGTCTCAAACTCCTGGCCCTGTGATCCGCCTGCCTCGGCCTCCCAAAGTGCTGGGATTATAGGTGTGAGCTACCGCGCCCGGCCGCTTTTCTAATTTATGAATATCACACTAGTGCAACAGAAGTTGTCAAAAATAATTCCAATGAAGTCATTCAATCACATCCTTAAGATTCATAGATAAAACAATTTCTATTTAATTAGTCAACAGCAAAGTCCTTGCTAATTGAATGTGAACCTCAAAGATGCAAGCCCAACACAGTTAGTAGTGCAGAGCCAGGTCTGTGATCTAGATCTTCCCTTTCCTGATTCAAGGAAAACACATCTTCCTGACCTAGCAACAATCTGCTGCTCACCAAAGTCAGCTCTCTTCTTTGCCGATTGTAACGGTTAATATTGAGTGTCAACTTGATTGAAGGTTGTAAAGTATTGTTCTTGGGTGTGTCTGTGACATTGTTGCCAAAGGAGATTAACCTTTTGAGTCAGTGGAGTGGGAGAAGCAGACCCACCCTCAATCTGGGTAGGCATCATCTAATCAGCTGCCAGCACAGCTAGAATAAAGCAGGCAGAAGAATGTGGAAGGAGCAGACTTGCTGAGTTTTCCAGCCTCATATTTCTCCTGTGCTGGATGCTGCCTGCTCTTGAACATTAGACTCGGAATTCTTCAGCTTTTGGACTCTTGGACTTACACCAGTGGTTTGCTAGGGGCTCTCTGGCCTTTGGCCACAGACTGAAGGCTACACTGTCAGCTTCCCTACTTTTGAGGTTTTGGGACTCAGACTGGCTTCCTTGCTCCTCATATGGCAGACGGCCTATTCTGGATGTCACCTTGTGATTATGTGAGTCGATATCCCTTAATAAACTCCCCTTCACATACACATCTATCCTATTAGTTCTGTCCCTCTAGAGAACCCTAACACACTCACCCAGTAGGAGTTGATGTCTCCTAGAATTCTAGAGCCTCCTATATGTGTAGCAATTCTCCAGGCTCAGCAACCCAAGTAGCTGGGACTACAGGCGTGCATCACTATGTGTGGCTAATTTTTGTATTTTTAGTAGACACGGGGTTTCACCATGTTGCCCAGGCTAGTCTCGAACTCCTGAGCTCCAGAAATCTGCCCACCTCAGCCTCCCAAAGTGCTGGGACTATAGGCATGAGCCACTGCACCCAGCCTATCTTTATTCTTATGGCTTCAAAATCTTCACAAGCAACATACATCTTCTTAGATCCAAGCCTCTCTTTCTAATTAATTAACTGATATCTTCAAATGTAAGTTGAACTTAGTAACAATCATCTTTGTCTCCTGAACTAGTTCTTCTTTCAGTAAGCCATATGGAACCAGCATCTTCCTAATCAACCAAGCCAAGTAACAGGAAGTTACACTCTTTCCTGCCCCTACACCTTCCTAGCCAACCAGTCAAGCCCTGTGGAGTTCATCTCCTTAATATTTCTCATGTATCTCTCCATTCCTCCATCCCTCTTCCAGCCATTCAAAGTTATCTAGCACCTGGCTCATTATTTAACAACAGTAATAGAAGAGGATTTCAATTTGGAGTTTACACTAATGTATATAAAATGGCAAACTGTATAAGTAAAAATCCTATCACTCAGTGAAAAACTGCAAACTCAGTGGAAAATTATTTCCTTCAAGTTAATAAAAAAATGTAAGGGACTTACTTAAATGGTGTAAACAAAAATGGTAAAGTAACTTCTTTTTTCTGAGTCATTTTCACCTGGGAACCAAGTATGAAAATATTACAAATGAGAAAAAAATGAATTTCATTTTGAAATATAAACATCCATTAAAATGATTCTTTAGGGATGGTTAGCAACTTTGAAAATAAATGGAATTTTATGTTACTATATTGTTTCATAAATATTTAAAGAAAAATTTAACATTTTCTTACTATCTCAATAAGCTGAGAATTAAACATATCAATCTTGCAAAATAACATACTGTAATTAAAACTGTACTTCCTTAACTCTGAAAATAAAACAAGCCAAACCGCTTATTCTTAAAAGCGTTAAGAATAACAGAAGGTTTTAGTCAAAGAGTCACCTCTTTAAACTCTTAACGAATCTCATAACGTACATGGAATGACAAGAAATGTTGCAATCTCTAACAAGACTTCTATGGGGCAAATTCTAATAGTTAAAGAATTGACTTGCAGTCGTAAGCATACGTTGTAATCTTACATTCAGTCATACTCCTCAAAGACAATTTGATGCCCTCAGACTGAGCCATAGAACCTACACTTCAGAAATGTAAAACATAAGTCGAATACGTAAAATTTAAGGGTAAATTACAGGGAAATAGTTAAAAAACAAAATCAAGTATTTCCCCTTAATATATTCAATATTTAAATTGTAGTACTGTCCATTTTTGTGCATGCCTTTTTAAATTTTTTTTACCTTGAACTGTTCAAGAATCTGTACTGCATTTGTAAACATGCTCTCTGCTTTGAAGAGATCAGTGTTGTTAAGATAATCCACAGGAAGGATTCCCTGCAAATAACAAACACCAGCTTATTGATAGTATTCAGACAGCTCAGGCTATTCTTATAAAACAAAACAGACTGAAAAGCAATAAAGATAAGGTATATGGACAAATAAATAATTGAAATAGTTAAATGAAAAATCTTTTTAAAACTATAACTGAAAAATGTTCTATTATTTTTCTCATAAAGTAGATGTATTAAGATAAGCAAGAGATGAATTAAATTCACTAACACCTGGCATTGGCTGAGAGATAACTATGTTCCAGGCAGTGAACTGAGTGCTTCACACACAAAAAACAATTACTATGGTAGGCCACAGCCAGCATACTTAAAATGAAAGACTTCAGACATATCAGAGTGTATTATACATAATAAGAGTAAGGACTATTCTGTTAAACTTTTGTTTCATTATACATATACACAAACACTGACTGTTGGGGTCATATTACTCAGCATTCTGGGTTAAATAACATTATTTTTTAAGAGTACATTTGATTTTGAAGAGCTAATAAGAGTGGCTGGTTGAAATAGTTATTTTCGGCATTTCGGTATCCAGGGCCCATTCTTAACAGCATTACTATTTTCTGTAGAGAAATCTTGCCCATTAGATACAGCATGTTAGGTTTCTAATCCAGGGACCTGCTGATTACAACCCAGGCTAGACCACCTGGAATTTGACTCCTGATAGTCAAGGGATAGAAACTAAGGTATAATGCTACTCTACCCTCATGTCAGTGCCCTGAGAACAGCTCTGCCATGAGATCATGGCTGTGGTTCCTTCTTCCAAGTCTCCAGATATCCTGGTTCCAGGTTATTCCAAGCCTGGTTTTCAAGCACCACTTTGTTTCAGCAAATCACCAATATCTTTTCAATAACTTCCCTTTAAACGAGGTCAGTTTTTGCTGCTTGTAATAAAAAAATTACTTACACATTTCTATCACTTATAACCAGAATACAAAGATATAAATCATACACATTTTAGAAAATTAAAGTATTTAAAGAAAAGCTACTTGGTTCATGTTCCATGTTATAGAATATAATACACAAGCAATTACGAGGTACTGCATATTTAGAAATAAATATACAGGAATATATAGTTTTAAATGTAATCAAAGATCACATAATCTGGAAGCAGTAGTGCATGCCTGTAACCCCAGACACTTGGGAGGCTGAGATGGGAGGACTGCTTGAGCCCAGAAGTTCAAGACCAGCCTGGGCAACACAGCAAGACTCCATCTAAAAAACAAAAACAAAAAAACAAAAAAAAGACTCCTAGATTATTCAGAAACACATTAAAAAGAGTAAATTTTACTGTTTTTTTTATACTGAGAGTTGATAATAAAATTTTATTCCTTACCACTGAGTTAAGAGGAAAGGGAACTCCAATAAGGGAAGTCATCAATGGTGCAATATCAGCCTACAAATAAAAAAGCTCAATTCTAAGAAGTCTATGGACATCAACAAAGAAATTAAACAATGTAATACAACCATATTTTGGAATATAACCATGATATTTGTTATAATCAGTTACCTTCAAACATGTATTTAATACAAAAAGATATTAATCTCTAAAAGTGTCATTTGCTAGACATATATGAACCTATTAAAAAAATTTGAAAAGAAACCAGTAAAAGCCCTAAATGTAAAACATACTAAAACAAAAAATCACTTATCCTATTAGCTAAGAATTTGACCATTTTATGTAACAGTTTTTCAGTATTATACAAGGGTGCCTTATTTAGACATAAAATGAATATCAAGAGTAGACTTTAACTGGAGAAATGTATCTATTAACCAGAAAAACAAAGTATCAGAAGGAGGTTTGACCAGCCAGTGATGTCCAGAAAAGACATAAACCAGAGAAGAGGCTCTTTAGTCAAAAGATCCCAAATACCATTTTGGATATCTCCTCTTCAAGGTCATTTTCTCAGAAGACTTGTTCATCTTTTTTCTATCTTCACTTCCTCACCTTCCCATCACTCTTCTGCCCACTGTGGCTCACTCTGACCTTTTATCATTCCATAGACTGCTCTCTCTAAGAGAGCTAACCACCCATTTTCTAAATCTAATTGACTATGTTTATATAAGTCCTTATAATTTTTCAGGCAATGAAGTACTCGGAATTGAGAACGCCCAGCTTCAAATTTTCAGGCAGGTTTTTTAACCCTCCAATTGCTCGATTTCTTTATCAGTTAAAAAAATAAATACAAGTTTTTCCCTTAAAGAGGTATGACAGGATTAAATGAGATAAAACTTATAAAGTACTTGGCACATAATAAGCCTGTGATAATGATAGCTACAAGTGTTGCTGGCATTACTAGACCTTTCAGCAGTATGGCATAGGCCACTCCTTTCTTGGCCTCAACACTACACAGCTGAGTTTCTTCTCTCTCACTGGCTCCTCCTTTTCAGATACCTTCACTACTCCCTCACTTAAAGTTGGAATTCATCAAGTTTGTTCCCAGGCTCTCAATCTTTCTCACTTGCTACTATTTAGACTGTCCTCCAGGTACCATCCTGCAGAAAACTGGAAATCTCCAAAGTCTTTCTAGTCGCCTTTTCCTTTTCCCTCAGAATCCACTGTCAGCCACCTCTAATCTCTTCTCTACACTGCAGCCAGGGGGATTCTTCCACACACAAAAAACCACATCGTGTCACTCTCTAGGCTTCAAACTCTTCAAGGATTCTTTGAACTTTCAGAATTAAGTTCACAAGGCCCATGAGACCCTGAAGGGTCTGTGCCTCCCTTCTTCTGCCTCACACCACCCCATGGCTTCTATTGCGGTATAACGGCTTTCTTCAAGACCCTTTAATACACCGTGTAACCCCTCACCAGAACTTAGTGTATGCATTTCCTCTGCCTGAAAAGCCCTCCTCCTACTGCCTTGGCCTGCTAATTCCTGCTTATTCATGAATCTTAGCTCAATCCTCGACTTCTCAGGAAGACTTTGCTGACCACAGTCTATCACATACATCCACTCTACAGTCTCACTGCTGCACAAATCTCTTTTGTAGTAGTTACCACAGCTTCAAGTTTACATGTATTTGTACAGACTGATGAGTATCTGTTCTTACCCCTAAGGTATAAATTTCCCAGGACAGGGATTAAGTCTGCCTTTACTCACCACTAAATACTTACACTTAGTACAAAGTTGAAACACACCACAGACACATCACAGTGTTAGTAGAAGGAATGAATAGAAGAAGAGATTCTCATTTGATGGAGATCTGAAGCAGGAATGTTCGCCAACAGACTGACAATTCAGAGAGCAGTAACTGAATCTATGTTCAATTGCTGATTATGATCTGGTCTGGCTATGAATAAGAGATGTTCTTGTTTTGTGATCTTCAAGTTATTCCTGTCTTTTTGACAGTGATTTTTAATTGCAAATTAATAAATTGCTATTCTGACTTAATATGTTCATGTTCATTTACTTGGGTAGTATGCATCTATCCTGGGAGAAGACTATTCTTATTATGCTGGGAAGAAACAAGTTTCTACAACCACAGGTCTGAAAGTGAGACCCTAGACCTTGGTTTGTCCACCACAGTAAGTAATCTCAGCTTGTGTGGTGACCTGGAAGGCAAGATACTCCTGCCACTTTGGAAGCCATATTCCAATGACGCTATACCTTCTATAAATAGCGAAAATGGCTATTAAAGTAGCATGTTTTTAACAATGACAATTATGTGCTTCATATTTACAGACAATGCTACTAGTCAGACTGGCTATACATTTTCCTCTAACAGAAGGTTTCTAGCTGAGTAATTTATAATCTCATCACTTTTTTCCCATTGCATTTGTAAGGTTGCTGGTTAGAAGTAAAGGTAAAATATGTGTTAACAAAAAGAAAATGTAACTGATATACTATAGGAAAGAAACCCATAACAGGAATTTTAATAGATCTGTGCTTAAATTAAGCAATACAATCATGAAAAGCAATCACAGAAATTTAACAGGCATGTGAACTTCAATTTACATAACAAATAATTATCTAGTGTTATTTGGAAAAAGTCTTTTATTTTCACTTGAAGTTTTGTTTGTTTTGCCACAAGAGAGATTAGTTGAGTTAAAATATATGCACTAAAAGAATTCCCCTTAGTAACTGAAATGTTTTGAAAAAGAATTTGTCAATATTATCTATTTTTTGTAGTTTTTGACTAACCTCCTTATAGAAGATAAAATTAAATTTGAATGTAATAAAATCAAAATGGATACCTGATTGACATCTAGCCTCTTCCAGTTCTCCAATCTCCACTCTGAAAGATAAAATCAGACACAAGATCTGATGTTAAGATTTAAAAAAGAATAAATCATTTGATTTTTAGGAGTGCCCAATACTTATGGAAAACATAGGTATTAGAAATGTCTATTTTAAGCCAAGTATGAATAAAAATCATGCTTAAAGGCAAAGGTATATTTTTTTAAATAATTTTTTTAAAAGTAAATATTTGGTGTTTCCTGTGATGATTTATTAAGCTTCTTAAATGCTCTTTGGGAGATAATTGTTTCAAAATATCAGAGGCTGAGGAAGGAAAGATGGAAGTGAAAAAGCACAATAGTAACAACTGTCAGCATTGAAAACTCATTACAATCCTGTTCGAGAGAGTTATTAAGGCAATTGATAGGAAGTTAATTAATTCAAGCTTCTCTTTTTTTCTGTGATGGCAGTTGCTCCCAAAACACTTAAAACTGTAGTTGTGATATTCCTGTAGTCACTAATCACAAATGTTAACATAGGATATTGAGTTATTATTAAAAATTGCCTTCAAAGATAGGCTTATTCTTCCATTTTGCTACACATAAATTCAGAAATTGCATCAAACAGAAATCGAAACAAGTGATTATGAGAGACCAAGTTTTGATTTAATGGCTTTAGGATATACTGCCAAAAGAGTTATAAGATATTGTATAATAAAATTTCATTCAATAAGCTAATTAAGGTTTAAAAATATGTTTCTGACTCTACTAGTCAACTGCCAAAAATTCACAATAATCAGTTGATGAAAAAGTGCACATTCCTTCTCTCTAAAATGTATATTTAATATTCATATGAGAAAAAATGCATTTATTTTGTGACAATTCTTGAAATCATGTGATTCTAAAACATCAATTCAGTGAGAAATCAAATGCCAAAATAAAGTTAAATCTCATAAATACAAACATACTATTTACCCTACTTTCTATTTTGATCCAATCCAATCCATTTATCACAGAGCAGTCAGAAAGATAGCTCCTATGGCAAACTGGAATGTTGGCAATGCTCTAACAGGTTTTAACAATAGAGCACTGCACTCAGAACATACTTCATGCTCTCCTTATCCAGGCTTTGGTGCATCAAATGATCTCCAACCTCTCAACTCATTATACTCTGCTCCTAGCTGACAGTGCTCAGCCACATCAGCCTTCCAATTCTGTTCCTCGAACAAGCTAAGCTCTTTGTATTTTTTGCCTCGTCATTTGCTATTCCCTCTGCCTGCAACATTCCTGCCCTAACCTTCATATGAATGGCTCCCTCTTATCCTAACTGTGAAGAGACGTACTATTAGCCCACTCTATAAAATGTATCCTGCTCCATAAGGGAAACTTCTAGGGTACTGCAAATGTATGGCGAATCTGGGTGGAGATTACGTGGTACATATATATGCAGGTAAAATTCATAAAGCTATACATTTAAAACTAACGCATTTTGCCTCCTTTGCTAAATATCTTAATAAAAACATGGGAAACTGAGTCAGGCATGGTACACACCTGTGGTTCCAGCTACTTGGGAGGCTGGGGCAGGAAGATTGCTTGAGCCCAGGAGTTCCAGTCTGTAGTGAGCTACGATTGGCCTGTGAACCTGTTAACAGTAACTACATTCCAGCCCATTCCATTCCTTTAGAGACACAGCAAGAACCTGTCTCTAAAGAAACTGTGGGGGACAGGGTGGAGAAAGGAGCCTGGTCCTACCTCCTCTTTTATCATATCACCCTAATTTTCTTCATAAAATTATCATAATGTGTAAGTTTTGTTTATAATTGCTTTAATTCTCCTACTGGAACGTTAAGTTCTGAGAAAGCAGGGGCTATCTCAAAGATATACAGTAGATGAAAAAAAGAGTCCTCTAGCTTCTTTTTCTTTCATACCTAAATAAATCTGGAAATAATAATGACAGTGTACTGGTTGCACTGTTCTGGCCCTTTGTCAATGTCTCCTCTGTGGACCTGTGATTTGGCATGATGCTCTCCATCAGCACTTACAAACATATAAGAAATCGCCCGCTGAAAAATGCACCATTACTTACTGAAGACATGCTATTGAGTGCCTTATTCATTGTGCTCTTCTGTCTTCATTAGGGCCTAGGGTTGAAATAGCTCAGTACTACCTCTTGCTTTTTAACTAATAGAGATATCTTGTAGGTAGTGTGATTTTATAACTGATAGTATGTACTTTGCTTGAGTTGAAAAATCTCAATCAAACTGATAATTTACCTCTATGAAACCTTAAATTTCCTCTTATTTAATTTTTATTTACTCTACCTCACATTCAAATTAATTAATAAATTAATAAAAGAACATCGAAAGTTCAGTTTATCAGTTGAGACATTCAGAAAGGTCTAGTTATTAGCAGTGGTGTGCTGGGAAGGGTTCAACAAATGGCTCTTTGAGAAGAGAAAAACCAACAATCCCTTGTAGTGTTTGCATAGAAACAGTAATGGCACAAATGTCAAAATGAGGGATTTACAACTAAAATTTGAAAAGTGATTTCTTAAAAAATTAAACTTTGTCCTTATTTTAAGAGGCTGTATTTATAAACACAGTAAAGAAATGCTTGTACCTTTCAAAAATGAATCATCAAATTGTTGAGCTGATACTCTTTGGGGATAATTGATTCCAGCTCCCCAAGTGACTAAAGGAGTTAAAGTCTCTGAAGGATGACCAGCCCCATGGGAACCTACAAATAAGATACCAAGAATAATAAGACAAATATAGAACAACTAACTTACAACTAAATATTTTTTAAATAGTTTGTTTTGAAGAGTTGATCCATATATAGTTAATTATAGTGACTACATTGCCAAATGGTTACAACCTTTTATGACAATTAGTTTGGCAATATTCCTATAAAGCAAGTTAGAGAAACAACAACAAACAGGCAAAAACTAAAACAAAAAACCAGAATGCCTGCTGAGTAACTATGTTTGAAAGAATAGAAATAATAACAATAAGACACGGAAGAAGTGTTGCTGCTGCCAGAGTAGCACTGCAGACAGGAAAAACAGAGAGCTCCCTTGGGCAGTAACCACCCAAGCTTGGGGCTAGCAGTAGAGACTTAGTCTGTTCTGGAGAAGATGGCAAGATCTCTTAATCTTTTTCTTCCAGGCCACTCTGGCAGGTAGAGCCAAGAGAAGCCCTTTATAAAGTGGAATTCAAATCACTAGAAATCCATATTGTGATTTGGGGACAAATTTCGTCTTTGCTTTATTTTGTTCTCTGTGCACACATTGCATTTGCCTTGGGAATCTTATAGGGTGCACAGGCTTATCCGGGACAGAATTTCAGCAGCCATCGGTCCCTCAGTAATACCATCTTAACACCACTCCCTCTGCCAACATATACACTTAATTCTCTGTAGATAAATAATAGTTACTTTTTATTTTCTTCTCCACTTTCCTCTAGTTTCTCATTTGTAAATGAGAACATATTCGTTTTTTAGTTAGAGAAAATATTTTTTATATAAGATCAGTTGTTTTTTAGGCTAACATTTTAAGCACAAAATTATGTGCTAGACACTTTGTATATACCAAGACATCTAATCCTCTCAACATCATAAAATATTTGCCGGCTACATTTATCACTACTCTAATTGTAAGGTACATATCAATTAAAGACACACTAACCCCAGTCTGTCATTCCATGGTCAGAGGTAAAGATAAATGTTGTTTTCCCATCATTTCCATAGAAATGGTTAAACATAGACACGATTTCTTTAACTCCATCATCAACTTTTTTAATATTATCCTTGTAGTCTCTATGTATAAAGAAACAGAGGAACAAATTAAATTAATTTGGAGAAATCAAACGTATTCAATGTGGATTTATTACATTCAAAATCAGTAACTTCTGAAATGCTTTTAGATTTCATCTTTAATATTTTAAAATCAGAGCACTCTAGATTGTTGAAATAATTTTTTTTCTCCTTTTAATGAAGCAAAATAACCCAAAATAGTTTTCAAAAAATGATTTAAAAGGGGACTGATTAACAAATATATTTTAATAAACCCATTTAGGTCCTAAATGAGATAGATGACTTTCATGTCTCTCACTCTCACTACATAAACTATACTCTTCTGGCCACACTAAAAGTATCATTTCAAGTATAGAATATTTTCATTCCCTAAAGTGCTTGTGATATAAAATATAATAGCACACTCTGAACACATTATATTTGAGATTGCCATACAACTGAACAAGGTTCTTTCGATACGAATATTCCAGCAATTACAACAGTGCCTCACATTTAAGAAGGGGATTGTGAGGTATTCATTACTGGTAGCTAACCCAATAGGCTTTACAGCTACTGTTAGGCTAATCTAAACCAAATGCGAAATAAGAAATAAGAGTATAACATGGTATCTTCCTTTTACCTGTGGTCTTCAAAAGTGAGAAAAATCTTTGCCGTTATATATAAGGAGTGTTACTGAATTATGGTATGCAAAAATTTATACAATTTATATGCTAGATACAATACTAATTAAACCGAATACACAGGGATAATTACATCTTTTGGTGATATAAAAGTTAATACCATAGAATGCTTTTATTTTCAAGATTCACTGAAAATATTTCTAAAATATATAGATATTTTAGATCATTTTTTTCTCTGCTTCAGTAAACGAAGACTATGGAATATGTACAGGATATATTTTACTTATATTAATGTGTCATCTGGATACAGCACATATGATTTAAACCACTACATCAGAAATCTCATATAGGGTCAAGAACTTAATATACATTACAGTAGTTATTTAAAATATTAGCTCTGTTGTTATAATTCCAAAGGAAACATTATAATAATTTAAAAGTTCAATAGAATAGATGTTTCCCCTAAAAAATACAATTAAACATAGCATGCATTAAATTACCTCGAGGATGGCCGATGAGCATGTCCATTTGTATCTATTCCTAATAAATGTAAGAAAAAAACTATTTTCTCTTCATTTATTTTAGAAAACAAAGACTGGTTGTTCCTGGCATGACGAAAGAAGTCCTACATATAACAAATGAGTTAAAAATATTTAGTTCATTTGTTTTATTTTAAAAGTAATACTGATGAAAACATTTAAATTTATGCATAAGTACAAAATTAAATTATCTCATGTTATTTAAATCTGTGACCTACCAACACAACGTCTTTGCTATCAGCTCAGACATCTATGTTCAATGAATTAGCTGTTTGTTATAAGGCGGCCAAAAAAAGGTGTTAGAAAGGGGATCATAATTTCATAGAGATCTCATAATGTTGTTAATCTCACATCTAACTTAATAAAATACAGCAGATTGAAGACATATTTTGGCAAGAGCCAAAAATAAAATAGTAATAGTGTTATCAGTTTAAGAATCATTTATTATTTTTAAATATTTCAGAACTGGACGACTTCTCATTGTCCTGTGTACTACCAACCTAGTCCAATCGTAATCTCCAATTTAGAACATTGCAAATAGCCTCCTCATTACTTCCTTTGCCCCAACTAGAATGTGTTCTTCAAATCATGTAACAGAAAAGCATCAAATTCATAAAATGCCACTTGGCAGGGTGAGGCTGGGAATAATTAATAACAATAAAATTTGAAGATTATTATGCTAATTTAATAATGATAAACTAGATTCATAAACCCTTCTCAGGCAAATGATTCATCCTGTATTCATATATGCATGAACATGGGTTAAAAACTATGAAGACTACTTTTAAATTATTTTAAAATAAGTTAACAGGCTATCTAAGATACATCTTTGTTGTTCACATAAATGCCTTTAACTGTAGAAGATGTTAACTTTTAACAAGAGATGTTTAATTTTTCAACAAAAGTCTGAAGTATTTAAGTATTTTTTTCAAATAATTCTTCATTACTATGTTAAAAAATACAAATGGTGCAATTAGAGAACTAGCTATTCAAGAATAGAAATAATATAATATGTAACCTGCTATCATCTGTCTCAAAAGTATAAAACTGCCCCCTAACTTTCATATACATTCTAATTAACCCCTAAGAAAATTTAAAAACTAGATAAAAATGATAAGTTCTTTAAGAGAAAAGAATTAAAAGTTAAACACATAATTGAACAAAACAAAAAACTGAGCAAATGACTTGAATTATATCTATAATTTGTTCTATGGCTGGTACAATATATTCAGCTACATAATCCTTTCTTGGAGCTAGATGTGCTCATCCTATCCTTTCTTGCAGCTAGATGTGCCTTTGTGGTTTTGGCCAATAAGATTTAAGTCAAATATTTCAGTCTTAAAGCTATGTGGATCTAAGGCTCTTTGAAATAAATATAATTCAGTAGGAAAGATCCTTTTTTCTTCTTCATATTGTTGACCTAAAACACTAACATACGGGCAGGAACTCCAAGGGTATCTTGAGTCATGACATAACCTTGAAGATAAAACTCATGCCCTGAGGTTAGAGGAAGACTTCAGGAGACTGAGTGTCAATGACACTGTGGAGCCAATATAGCACCCTGGACTGCATCAATGCTCAGCTGCCTACTGCTGGCATTATCTTTAGTTAAGATAGAAGTAAACTTTTATTTTCTTCCCTTTTACACAGGTATGATCTAATCTAAGTTAGTATACTTATTCATGTACCAAACAATTCCCTGATAGGGGAATTGTTGTTGTTGTTGTTATTGTTGTTTTGTTGTTGTTGTTGTTTGAGACAGAGTCTCTATCACCCAGCCCAGGCTGGAGTGCAGCGGCACAATCTTGGCTCACTGCAACCTCTACCTCCTGGGTTCAAGCGATTCTTGTGCCTCAGCCTCCCGAGTAGCTGGGATTACAGGCATGCACCACCATGCTCGGCTAATTTTTTTGTATTTTTAGTAGAGACAGTGTATCACCATGTTGGGTAGGCTGGTCTCAAACTCCTGGCCTCAAGTGATCCATCCACCTTGGCCTCCCGAAGTGCTGGGGATTACAGGCGTGAGCCACTGCGCCCAGCCTCTGATAGGGGTTTAAAGTTAACAGTGTGAAAAAGTCAGTATCTCTGCCAATAAGATGTATATTGAAGGGGAATATGTCAGTGTATGAACAGTTATAGTATAGCACAATAAAGTATTAAGGGAATACAGAGGAGGGTTATCTAAGTCAAAGTGGAAATAGGGTAAAGCAAAGAGAAGTCACAGAAGACATAATAGAGAAGATGATGCACGAACTGAGATTTTTAAAGTGAATAGATTCAACCCAGGTGAACCTTTGAGGCCATTATACTAAGTGAAATAAGCCAATCACAAAAAGACATAGACTGTATGATACCACTTATGATATAAGGTGCCTAGAGTAGTCAAATGCATAGAAATAGAAAGTAGAATGGTGGTTGCCAGGGGTTGGGGGAGGGGGAAATGAATAGTTTTGTTTGTTTGTTTTGAGACGGAGTCTCACTCTGTCGCCAGGCTGGAGTGCAGTGGCACGATCTCGGCTCACTGCAACTTCCGCCTCCCGGGTTCAAGCGATTCTCCTGCCTCAGCCTCCCGAGTAGCTGGGACTACAGGCATGTGCCACCACGCCTGGCTAATTTTTGTATTTTTAGTAGAGAAAGAGTTTTACCATGTTGGCCAGGATGGTCTCAATCTCTTGACCTCGTGATTCACCCACCTTGGCCTCCCAAAGTGCTGGGATTACAGACATGAGCCACTGCGCCCGGCCAGAATTACTGTTTAATGGGTACAGAGTTTGTTTTGCGAGATGAAATAGTCTAGAGATCAGTTGCACAACACCATGAATATACTTAACATTACTAAATTACAGATGCTCCTCACTTACAATGGGGTTATATCCCAATAAACCCATCCTAAATTGAAACTATTGTAAGTCAAAAATGCATGTAATATACCTGTTACAGGTAGTTAGACAGGCATGAGTGGGACAAGAGAGGGGTCTTCCCTAACCCACCAGGAATGTCAGGTGATGATTCAGCAATTATCACACTGCCTCTCTAAAAGTAGTAGATTGGCAGCTGGCACCAGGGAGAGGCCATTTCCTGATGGTCCATACTTGCCGCACTAAAGTGTTAACTGAATGCAAGCACCAGAGAGATGCATTCCTGGGCATGTGCATTAAGAGACCAAATGGTGAAGTATGCCCGTCAGGGGGCACTCCACCAGAAAAGGAAAGAAAGCCTCGGATGGGTATGTGTACAACTTTCTAAATACACTGCATGCTCACCTTCCAACGTTAAGGAGGGCACTGCGCATGCAGGCGCCCCACCCTATGGGAAGAATCATGGAAAGGGCCAGCCTATAAAATCCTAGGATCAAGATTAAACACTGCACTTGACCTCGGTGCTCACTTCTAGGCATACTTCCCATTCTTTCCTGTTCTAAAGCTTTTGTAAATAAAATTCCACTCCTGCCTTGGTCTCTTCTTCTGCCTTATGGCCCCAGTCAAAGTTTTTCTTCTGGGGAGGTAAGAATTGAGGTTGCTGCAGATCCTTACGGATTTGTTGCCAGTAATTCAGATACCTTCTGCCAGTAACATACCTAACCTACCAAACATCATAGCTTAGTCTGGCCTACTGTCCACGAAGAGTCAAACTCTATAAAATATTTGAAGAGATTTATTCTGAGCCAAATATGAGTGACCATGGCCCATGACACAGCACTCAGGAGATCCTGAGAATATGTGCTCAAGGTGGTTGGGGTGTAGCTTGGTTTTATACATTTTGGGGAGACATGAGACTTCAACCAAATATATTTAAGAAATACATTGGTTTGGTTCAGAAAGGTGGGACAACTCAAAGTGGGGATTGGGGGGAAATTTAAAAATTTCTGGTTGGCAATTGGTTGAGTTTCTCTAAAGACTTGGGATCAAAACAAAGGAATGCCTGGGTTAAGATAAGAGATGGTGGAATCCAAAGTTCTTATTTGCAGAGGGACCCTTCAGATAGTAGGTTTCAGAGAGAACAGGTTGTAAAATGTTTCTTATTAGACTTTAAGGTCTGTGTTGAGGTTAATGCCAGAGAGGTATAATGAGGCATGTCCGACACCCACCTCCCCTCATGACCTGAATCAGCCTCTCAGGTTACATTTTTAAAGCTTTTAAAAGCGCCCTGGCTGAGAAAGTTCATTGAGATGCTTGGGGGGGGTGGTGCTTAGAATTTTATTTTTGGTTTACACTACCTTCAACATGCTCAAAACATTTACATTAGCCTACGGTTGGGCAAAATCATCTAACATAAAGCCCATTTTTTAATAAAGTGTTGATAATGTGAGATAAGTGAGATAATAATTACTATTTCATGTAATTTTTGAATACTATACTGAAAGTAAAAAACAAAATGGTTGTATGGGTACTCAATGTATGCTTTATACTAAATACGTATGGCTTTTGCACTGGTGGAAAGTCAAAAGAATCGAAAGTTAAACCACTGTTAAGCTGGGGACTGTCTGCAAACACTTAAAATGCTTAAGATAGTAAATTCTGTATTTTGCATATGTATTTTTTTTACCACAATTACCAAAAACAGGTGAGTAGAAAACTGCATGGATCTGGAAACTGTTGGGCTTGAATTAAGCATGAGTCTCTAGCCAGGATATGAAGTTCAAAAGTAAAACCCTTAACTCACTCTCTAGCCTCTTCTGAGACCTGGCTCCCAGGCAGTCCTCCTGCCACACTAACCTCCCTTCTTTCACTTCCTCAAATCCATTATGCTGACTCTTGACCAAGATTTACCTAGTGCTGCTGGCCTGCAATACCTTTCCATACCAATCCATCCCTATCCATTGCTTTGTCTCCTATACGTGTTCTGAGATTATCTCAAACCTCTTATCCTTCCCCTAACTACCCAGTCCAGATTAGAATTTTCTGAAGATACATTTTTGGTCTGTATTTTTCCTTCACATCACTTACCAATGCTGATGACTTCATATTTTCATTATAACTTGATTAATATATATCTACCATATTTTACGAAGAAGTCATGTGCAAATCTTTTTGTCTGTTCACTACCATGTCAAGACTAGTAGTGTTGAAATAAAGAAAGGAAGAAAGACATGAAAATCAGGCCAGCTACCAGCTAAGTATGTACATTCGCAAGGAATCAATTCCATGATTTTGGAGGGATTTTAGCTACATATACAAAATTAGAAGCCAAAGGCTTTCATGCAGATATTAATATTAGTACATTATGTTAAGAAGTGATGATTAGCAAAATAATTTGCTAATCATTTTCTCAAAGAGATTTTATTTAAGATGAAAGTTTTCTCTGTTGACAAAAGTATATATTAAAAGTAAAAAGAAAATTTCAAGGGAAAACATCCTTGGAAAAAAATAGGGTTTAGCCATGAATTTTAGAGCACTCAATTTCTGCTAAGCAAATACAAAGAAAAAGGCAGATATATACTGAGTACATTTACAAACAAAAATGGCTATATCATGGAGAAGTCCACAAAGTCAGTTCAAAAGACACTATTAGAAAAAAGAAGTGTCAATCAAAGCCTCTTATAATGGATGAATTATGAGTTGTTATTTGGAGATGAGGAATAATGCACTGGTAAAAGAAGAGAGACAATGTCCACAATTGAGATTTTCACACAATTTTTGAGAATATAAATTATATTGTATTCCTCATGAAACTATGATAATTGTCACTATAAAATGTTCAAAAAACTCTAGTACTTAAATAAACCATAGATTTTTATTATGATCAATTTGCTAATTTGTTTTTGCTTATATAATCTGCTTATCTAATTTTTCTTTAAAGTATATATTTTTTAAAAAAATCATATACTTTGTTATTATAAATGTATTATATTTGAACAGCATTTTCCCAAAGGCTTTCATATATCTCACATGGTCCATTACTACAAGAGAATGATTCCAAGGGAAATGAAAGATCAAAATTTACCCAGGATGAATCACAAACTAGAAATGAAAAACAGGTTTCCTAAATCCTAATCTAGGGCTCATTTTACTAATAGAAACAAAGAAGTTTAAAACTTCTCTTGTTTATTTAGAATGTGTAATTTTTTATAATTAAATCTTAGAATTCAGAACAGTATGCTACAATATAAAACTTTTAAAGCTCATGCAAACAGAAAAAACTTGAAATACAGTCTCCAATACTTCAGATAAAAATATGTTTTTTGTATATTAACCACTCAATAGCACAAACCTTAACATTATCAAAAACCCACGTATCCAGTTTTGTTGCATCTTGAGCACCAAAATCCTCTCTTTTAGCATCATAACTGTATGTATAAACGTGGTCTCCACTAGCACCTGAAAAGGAAATTTGGAAAAAACCATTTTTTTACAAAATCTTTTAAACTATCATAAAGTATGAGATAGTCATTCACAGATTTTTGTGAGTAACCAGAATTTTCACAAAGCATTGTTCATTATGATGGGGAAGAGAAAAATGGGAGGAATAATTAACATTTATGTATATTATGTCCTATGGACCATGCTACATACTTTAATGTATTCTATTGCTTTTTGTCCTCAAAAATAACATATTTTAATTTCACAGATTCACTATATGTTAATTAACACACAAAATCACAACTCTAATAAGCAATATAACAAAAATAAGCACAATAGTTGTCTCCCTTTAAGGATTAAACCATTCAAAACATGTGTGCCCCTTAGAATGCTACAATCTAAAATAGATGAAGATGTGTGGTGTACAAACCTTCTTAACATAAGAAGAAAATTCAAATATTTCACTTCTCTTATTCATAAACTAGGCGTATTTTTCTCAACTTATAAGAGAATAAATATTGCTTATTGCCAAAGAGTTTGAAGGGGTCAACAGATATAATAATCTCATACATTTGCAAGACTGTATTAAGAATCTAATCAGTTTAGTGAATTTCTGAGTTTAATAGGCTCTTGCAGGTAATAAGAAAGAGATATGACTAGCGTGATGGCTCACACCTGTAATTCCTGTATCTTGGGAGGCTGAGGCAGGTGGATCACCTGAGGTCGGGAGTTCGAAACCAGCCTGGCCAACATGATGAAACCCCATCTCTATTAAAAATAGATGTGGTGTGTGGTGTATGTGTGCCTGTAATCCCAGTTACTCAGGGGGCTGAGGCAGGAGAATCACTTGAACTGAGGAGGTGGAGGTTGCAGTGAGCTGAGATTGTTCCACTGTGCTCCAGCCTCGGCAACAAGGGCAAAACTCCATCTCAAAAAAAGAAAAACAAAAACAAAAACAAAAAGAAAGAGATACAATAAACTAATACAATCTTTTTTGCACCAGTTCAGCTCTAATGACCCTATTCCACAGCTCAGCCATTCTACTTCCCACATCCCAGATAAAAAGGTCTGACTGGGTTTGTTGTTTACCATAAGATATGGAACGTTCCTATTAGACTATCCCTAATTCAATTATTGGTCCTGTCTCATCCATTGTAGCCAGAAACAAGAATGTTAGTTTGATAAGCCATAGCAACTTAATCTACCCTTACCACCACCAACTCCCAAAAAAACTAAACTGCTTTCCAAAGAAGGCAATATATAAATGGCAAACAGTTTGGGGCTCTTTGGTCCACCCAGTATAATAATGTTCTATCACTATCATCTGTAAAATTCTCAATATATATTTTGCTTCCTGGACACGTAATAATCTTCAATAGTTCCCATTATTTTAATTACACTCATGACTAAGTATGTTACAAATCCTTTCTGATAAGTGAAATGATCAATCATTCTGTTTCCACTTAAAAGCATTTAATGACATGAAATTCATCCGATTGATTTTAGAAAATAATATAAATGAATTTTCTAATTAAGAGATGTCCCAATGTTTGCAGAATCATGCATATAAACAACAAATCTAAATGCTATATTCAATATATTAAATATCAATTTAAATAAATTGTATGTTAAATGCCATCTATATTAAATGCCAAAATATATGGCATATTCAATATATTAAAATAGGAATTATAACTATACATTTTAACACTTAAATCTTCCGTTTTTTTTGAGACACGGTGTTGCTCTGTTGCCAGTGCAGTGGCATAATCATGGCTCACTGCAGCCTCAACATCCCAGGCTCTCAAGTGCTCTTCCCACCTCAGGCACCTGAGTAGTTGGGACTGCAGGCACATGCCACCACACTCAGCCAATTTTTTGTTTGTTGTAGAGATGTGGGTCTCACCTTGTTGCCCAGACTGGTCTCCAACTTCTGGAGCTCAAGTGATCCACCTGCCTCAGCCTCCCAAAGTGCTGAGATTACAGGTGTGAGCCACTGTGCCCAGCCAATGTTTAAATCTTCATATGAATATCCAGTAATTTTAAAATGATTTGCCAAAGTATAATGAACCACACCTCAACATCACCATTTATAATGAAGTTATGTGAAAAGTGCTATGCTAAATATTTCACATGAATTACATAATTTAATTCTAAAAATAAACCTATGAGACGGAAACTAATATTATCACATTTTATAAAAAGGAAATTGAAGCTCAGAGAGATTATATAAATTGCTCAAGATTATATAGCTGTTAAGTGATACAGCCATATACCATTTAATTGAATCCAAAATACTATCTAACTGTATGATGTACCAATATTTCAAGTATAACTAAGAAGGAAAAAAAAATGCCAATTAAACAGACACATCTATCACTGTAATTAAATATCCCTATTTCAGAAATGTTAAACATGTAAAAATATGTGTAAAAATTAACAAATACAGTATGTATATAAAAACAGAAAACTACCATATTGACTTATTCCCTATTTACTATCGGAGGAAACATAATCAGCAACTCTTACCTTTGGCAAACATAGGCAGGATATCTGGGCTTCCCCAGCTCCATGTGTATTTACTTTCATTAAAGAGAGAATCAAATTCTACAGGATTTTCCTTCCATCCTTCAGAAAGCAAGCAAGCAGTAACAGTAATATATACATGGTACAATAAGCCCCTAAAGAACTATTCTTCAAATAATAACAATTAGTCAGTGAACAAATGCAAAACTAATAGTAGATTTTATATTATGTATATTATACCACTATTTTAAAAAAACTAACAATAGATAATTTACTTCTTAATGAAATATAAAATTATTTTTGAACTTTCAAGAATAATATCTAGGAAAATTATGCTTCCATCCAACCCAAATTCTTTCAATAACACAGGATAATGAAATACTAAAGCATCATTCTGGAGTCAATACCAGTGGGTGTTCATGTCAGTAAGGCATGCTAAAACATTTGTCCAAAGTATCTCAAAACATACCTTCACTTTGTGACATGATTAAGCGGTAAAGGACTAATATTTATTTGACAGATGTTTCATTTAATAAGATTGTCCAAATACACAATACCTTTGGCAACTGCGCTGACATCTTCATAAAACCCAGCTATCAGAGCTACATGACCTGGCCGAGATTCTGTCGGCACACGTGTATGAGATATGCCCCAGCTGCCTTCATGCATTATGATATTCCTAAAAGATATTAAAGACAAATAGTTAACACAGACTATGATTAGATACTCTCATATGAAGCTTTAGAAACATAAGATTATTAGAGAAGGAATCAAAAGCAAAAAAGTAAGTCAAAACTTAAGAAGGAAAGGAATCTTTCAAATTCCAGCTGAGCCCATTCCAAGCATCTACCAGCTGAATGAAGCAGCATGAATTCGCTGATGTAAGACCAAACGAAGAACCACTCAACCACGGCACAGAATCATGAAACAAAATACATGATTGTTGGTTTAAGCCACAAAATAGAGATGGCTTGTTATATAGAGATAAAACATATATTATGATATCAATGTTAAATTGCATTAGGTGTGATAATAGTATTGTGGTTATTTAAGAGATATAGGCTGAAGTGTTTGGGGTAAAGTTTCTTGCTTTCAAATTGTTAAGGAAAAAATAATTAAAACTAGGTACATATACATGGGCACCGCTGTGGTGGGGGTGGCAGAGGGGCCAGGAGAGGGTGAACGCAATTATGAAAAAAGGTTAAAATTGTCATACCAGGTAAAGGGTATACAGATGTCCATCACATAATCCTTTCAACTTTTGTTTAGTTGAAAAATTCTTAAAATAAAAACTAAGAGGAGGGAAAATGGCTACACTCCTAATTAGGAGTTAAATTATATCCCCAAATTTGAGACAAACAGGCAGAAAGATTATTTTTGCTAAAAGATGTCAACATTATTTAAGTTGTATCACAGTGATTTGCAAAATTTGGGGAAGAAAGCAGAACTACAAGTGATGCTATTACAGGTGACAGGCCAGCAGAGCAATAAGTTATAAAATAGTAAACTCATCACTAACATTTTTCAATATAAATATCTGCCTCTCAATACATTCTAAAGTAAAATATTTATAACTACTGGTGTCAGTTCTTTTACTACTGACTTACCTAATAATAAAAGCAGTTTTGGTGAAATACATACATAATAAGTAAACAGTTTCAAAACCACTGGACCAAATATTAACAGAGAAATATTCTTTAACTTCTTGAGTTATATAATGAAAACTGGACTTAAATAGAAAGGGGAGGTATAAAGAAATGTGGATACTCTATTTAAAAGCATTAGTTTAGATACTGTATTTAAAAACATTAGTTTAGACCACATTTTTAAAAAACAAATTTTGAGCCAGGCTAAGTGGCTCACACCTTTAATCCCAGCACTTTGGGACGCCGAGGCAGGTGGAGGTCAGGAGTTCAAAACCAGCCTGGCCAACATGGTGAAACCCCGTCTCTACTAAAGATACAAATATTAGCCGGGCGTGGTGGCATGGGCCTGTAATCCCAGCTACTCAGGAGGCTGAGGCAGGAGAATTGCTTGAACTTGTGAGGCAGAGGTTGCAGTGAGCCAAGATCGCACCATTGCACTCCAGCCTGGGTGACACAGTGAGACTCCGTCTCAAAACAAACAACAACAACAAAAAAAAACCTTTCAAAAACAGGCTTAGAAGAAGCTAGAAGATTCCTGACATTGTAAATATACAATGGCACACAACACAAAACCTCAACTGTTTGAGCCCACAGAGTTTCCGTAAGATCCAAAGGAGAAACAAGTGCCACCAGAAAAAGTTGACTATATTTTACCAGTATATTTTCATCATCTTAATTTTGAAATGAAGCATATTTCTCTCTTTCCTTTGGCAACTAAGAAATTCACCCAAATACTTCAATTATTTCTGAAATTTGTTACACATTTTTGTGTACTGTACTTAACCTTGGTTTGATCTTATTTTCCCACAATATTCCTCTATTGACTTGAGTCACTCTTTTATTTATTTTTATCCCTCAATATGTTATGCATCTCTTTGAGCTATCATAAATTTAGTTCTGAAAATTCAACACAGCATTCGAGTTCATCCGTTCTTCTAGCTGTCAACAAATATTTGTTAATTGCCCATTATGTTATAGGAACTGGAGATAAAGTAGTGGATAAGTTCCCAATCTCATGGAACTTTCATGATTGTAAGTACTATAAAGAAAAATAAAATAGGGCAGGTGTAGTGGCTCACACCTGTAATTCCAGCACTTTGGGAGGCTGAGGCGGGTGGATCATGAGGTCAGGAGATCGAGACCATCCTGGCTAACACGGTGAAACCCGGTCTCTACTAAAAATACAAAGCACTAGCTGGGTGTGGTGGCAGGCGCCTGTAGTCCCAGTTACTCCGGAGGCTGAGGCAGGAGAATGGCATGAACCTGGGAGGTTGAGCTGGCAGTGAGCTGAGATTGTGCCACTGCACTCCAGCCTGGCTGACAGAGCGAGACTCCGTCTCAAAAAAAAAGAGAAAGAAAACCAAGTAAAGTGACAGTAGGTAATGATGACAGATGAGGATGGGGGGAAGACACAACATGTTAGAAAAATTTCCTCTCGAATTTGATTTTAATCTCTCCACAACAGCATTACAAGGCCTTTCAGGAGTTGCCACTAATCAGAAAAAGAGCAATTGTTTGTAGGCCCTTTGTAAGTCCAAGAAATTAAAGTGACTTAATAGAAGCCAAAGTTACATTAAACAGTGATATAAACATGAAAGGGCTCTATATTCTTTTACGGAAGGTTGTGTTTTTAATATGAAGTCTATATTTTCTACTTAAACATTGTTGAAAGTAGTAATTCATTAATATTTATGCTTGTCTTTATTTTGTAAAATCAGCAGATTTTTTTCTTTTTTGGTTTTCTGTTTGTTTGTTTGAGATGGAGTTTGGCTCTTGTTGCCCAAGCTGGAGTGCAATGGTGCCATCTCGGTTCACTGCAACCTCTGCCTCCTAGGTTCTCCTGCCTCAGCCTCCCGAATAGCTAGGATTACAGGCATGCGCAACCACGCCCAGCTAATTTTTTGTATTTTTAGTAGAAACGGGGTTTCTCCATGTTGGTCAGGCTGGTCTCAAACCCGCGACCTCAGGTGATCCACACGCCTTGGCCTCCCAAAGTGCTGGGATTATAGGCGTGAGCCACCATGCCCGGCCAGCAGATTTATTTTTTAAGAAAAAAATAATATAGTGAGTCCTGCACCACGTTTGGGAAATTAGGACAAGTCAGCTTAAGCAGCTAAGCCTATCCATTTCAATTCGCCATTATCAGCTTCAACAATACCAGAAATAACACCTAGGAGGAAATAAAGTGGCATCTAGTGCTGATCCATAAGACAAAGGCAAATGTACAAGTGCCCTATTCTCTTTCTCATCATCACCCCTGTGCCCAGTATATGATAAACAGCAAGATATTATGCAGTTGACTTAACTCAGAAGAACATTTTAAGAGATGTCTCTTATGAGTGTACATGCTCACCTAATAAACGGTGCTCTAGAGGTCCCATTTTCATCTAATTCGTAAAGTGTGTCCGCTCGAAGGCCATCAGCAACAAACAACACTAATCTTCTCGCTGGAGGGGGCAATGGTGTAAACTGAGGAGTCATTCCATGAACCAAAGGAGATGTAAAATAAATGTCAAAGATGGAGGCGAAGAACACAAAATGTATAAGCAATCCCAAAGTAAAGAACAGCAGCATAGCCAGTGTAACTAATTAGTCTTCAAGGACAGCTGAAAGAGGGAACAAAATTAAATTGGGGTAAATCTTAATGCAATCATATGTGTTTTCACATATTTTGATGATTACAAGTAGATTAAACATATATTTTTAATTATTATGTAACTCACAACTTTACTTTCATTTGTGGTGGTAACAATAAGCACTATTTAATAATGTGACATAATACTGAAATCAAATACATAATAAAGTACATCCAAGCAAAAAGAAAAAGTTCAAGTATAATAAGTAATTGGGACAAATAAACTATAATGAATTTAAGTCCATAATAAGCTCATAAAAATTAACACAGGACCAAAGAACAAATAAATAATTAAATCAGTCCTAAAAAGAGTTAGCGTTCAGCCAAGTCAAATCGTACAAAAAGAAAATATAACTCGTGCAACTCTTGGTTGTCCATATGACAATCATTGCCAATAAGGGATTTTTAATTATTTAAATCAGTTATAATTATTTAGATGTTTGTGCATTGATTTAAATTATTCAAATATTTGTGATTTTTTTTCTTCTTACTTTGGTAATCAGCTCAGGGGTATTCTGGCTCTCTTGACTATTACCACATTGAGCAGGAAACATGCATTCTATCACATTTGACAGAATCATATGAAGTTAAATTTCATCTGTGCTTCAGAAAATCTGTACTTATTAAAGAATCATTTTATTTTAGTTCCCTGAATCAATCAAAAAGGTTACATTTTGTCCACTCAATAAAAATGTTTTGTGCATACATCACATGCATAATTGGATGCTGGGGTACTATAGAGAATATCGAGTTCTCTGTAAGTTCATCACAGAGCTGATGAACTTACAAATACTTAAGGAAGAAAAACGAAGCAATATGAAACATTTAAATAATACTGTAAAAGAAGATACCATTAAACTGCCAAGATCAAATGGAACATGGGAGTGTTTTCCAAGCCAGTCTGTAATTTGCTATTGTTGGTGAATCTCTGCAGGTCAAGGAGAAAAAAAAAAAAAAAAGTATTGGAACTTGTCTTACTTGTAATGTAACGGCATTAGTTACATATAGTGATCCTAGGCTGAAAAACACCAAGGTTGAGGTAATTTTAACTACAGACACATCTTTTTCTTCTTGGCCTGAAGAATCACATCATGGAAGGAAAGGATGGCAAAATACCTTGCAAAAACAAATGAAACATTGGAAAAACACTCGTCAAAGTCAAGCCGATTATAAAAAAGAAAATATGATAGAGCAAAAGGTCAAATTACAAGCCACTTATTTTCTGAGAACCAAGGGTCAACTAAATATCAAAGATATTCTACGAAGTACAAAAGTTCCTTAGTGAGTAGATGCTATTTTGCATCTCATAGCTAACTGACAAAGAGAATCTTTACGTGTTATATAGCATATTCCCTCCCTTCTTTGGTGCTACTACAAATCAACTTTCTATTTTCTGAGGCAGTTTAGAATAATAATCACTGTACTTAATTTTTTTAAAAAGTAAACTTTACATATTTTTATTAAACAACCTAATGAATATTAAATGCTAAACTATCAATGTGAATGTAAAATAATTCTGAATATATTTGTGTTATTTTCTTAAATATATTCTCAACGTAGAATTAAAGATTCAATGGTTGTGAAAAATTCTTCAAATTACCAAACCAATTTAAAATTCCATTAAAAACGTGTAAATAACTGTTTACCCAAATCTGAAAGTTCTGAACATTGACAGTAATCTTTTTAGTGCATCAGTCATATTACGGTACTTTAAATTTATATCCGTTTTTATTTGCTTGCCTGCTAGCCAGTAAGGGTGTGTACTGATTTCCTAGTTACAGTTTTTCATGGCTTGCTCTTTTGTTTTGATTATTATAGTAGAGCTCTTTTAGACATTAGACCTTTTCTACTCTAGAGACAACACAGAGGTCCCAGTGAAAAAAGGACTATGGTACACCTAATAATAAACCTGACCCAGTTGTATTTTCCTGTTGGAGATAAACTTTAGTTATTTTCAAAGCTAATATTTGCAGGGTGTTCTGGTCCCTGAAGAAACCTAGATTAGTTACCTTTGTGGCACATGGTATTTTTTGTTTTCAATTTTGTTTCAAGAGCATTTTGTTGAGCCAACTACTTAAAATTCCCTCAGAGAATACGAAGAAGAAATGCAAAAGTATCTATATCTAAATTTACCCTCCAGGTTTATCATCATCTGTTTAAAAAGATTTAGCTTCTAAGGAACATCTATGTTCAAAATTATAGGTCTCCAAAGGCTATAACTCACCTCACTTTGCCCAGAACTGAGACATAATACTGTTTCTAGAACATAAAACATTTTTAAAAATTGTTTAAAAATTCACATAACATTTACTATTTTAGACATTTTAAAGCACAGAGTTCTGTAGTGTTAAATATATTCACAGTGTTGTACAATCAATCTCCAGAACTTTTCATCTTTCAAAACTACAACTCTATACCCATTAAACAACTCTCCATTCCCCCCTGCCCTAACGCTGGGGAACCACTGTTCTACTTTCTATTTCCATGAGTATAACTATTCTTGCTACTTCATACAAATGAAATTATACAGTATTTGTTCTTTTTTGATTAGCTTATTTTACTTAGCATAATGTCCTCAAGTTTCATCCATCTTGTAGCATATCAGAATTGCCTTCCTTTTTAAAACTGAAATCAGACCATTGCATGTATATACCACATTTTTGTTATCTAGTCACTTATTCATACACATTTGAGTTGCCCGCACCTTTTGGTGACTGTGAATGATACTATGAACATGGGTACACAATCAGTTTTGTTTAAAATAAACATTGGATATTCACCAGAGGCAGTCATGTAGATCACTTAATTACAAGAAGCTGGAAAATACGGAAAACTGAGGAAATATATGGTAAATATCACTGTCTCTGCTGCAGACATATTTTTACACATATTTCATACTATAATATATAACATAATGTATTAGTCCATTTTCACATTGCTATGAAGAACCACCTGAAACTGGGCAATTTAAAGTGGTTTAACTGACTCACAGTTCCACAGGCTTAACAGGAAGCACGACTTCAAGGCCTCAGGAAACTTACAATCATGGCAGAAGACAAAGGAGAAGCACGCACACCTTACCATGGCAGAGCAAAAGAGAGAGTGAGCAAAGTGGGAAGTGCCACAGACTTTCAAACACCCAGATCTCATGAGAACTCACTCACTATCAGGAGAACAGCAAGGGGAAAATCCACTCCATGATTCAATCGCTTCCCACCAGGTCCCTCCCCCAACGCGTGGGGATTACAATTCGAGATGGGATTTGGGTGGGGACGCAGAGCCAAACCATATCACACAGTAATACATACATTATGTTGATTTATCACATATAATCATTATTATGTATATGTTAATATATATATTAATTACACTGGCTCAATGTAGAGAGCAGATTGTAGTAGGTAAAGAAATGAATCAAGGAGACTGTTAGAAAGCTAGTTAGTATGTAAAATAGGTCACGAAAGAGATTATTGTTGATTAGTATAAATTAGTGCAATGGAAGTTAACAGAAGGAAGTTGATGACGCAGTTATACTTTGGAGGGAGATGAGGAAGGCTGCTATGGTTTGCGCTTTTCCCCACCAAAAGGCATGTTGAAATTTGACCCCATTGTGGCTGTGATGGGAGGTGGGGCCTATGAGAGATGTTTAGGTCACACAGTTGGATCCCACATGAATGCACTGGTGCTATTCTCACAGCACTGAGTTCTCACTCTGGAGCAGAGGGATTAGTTCTCTGGGAATGGATTAACTCACGTTCTCACAAGTGGGTTGTTGTAAAGTGAGGTTCCTCCTCCTGCTCAGTCCCTCTTCACACATGTTCACATCCCCTTTGTTCTTCTCTGCAATGTTATAACAAAGCACAGAAGCCCTCACCAGAAGCCAGGTCCATGCCCTTTAACTTCCTTGCCTGTAGAACTGTGAACTAAATAAACCTCTTTTCTTTATATATTACCCAGTTTCAGGTATTCTGTTATAGCAACACAAAACAAAGACCTGGGGCTTCAATAAAATAATATAGGTAAAGAGGTAAAAAATGACTTCCAGATTTCTGGTTTGAGCATGTGAACGGTCTTTAACTTAGAGAAGGAAAAGATTTCCTTATAGGACATGGCGGGATGTAAAGCTAAGGGAGAAAGTATTGAGCATTTTCTTTTTGATATATTAAATTTAACCTCGAGATGTCATAATAAAAAGGCAGACAGTTGCTGTGAAACTCAAGAGAGGAGTTCTTAACTACAAGAATGACCTAGAGAAAGCCACTACTAGAGACAGAAAAAAATTAGCCAGTGAAGTAGAAGGAAAACCAGGAGAGGGGCCCTTGAAGTTAAAAGAACAGTGATTCAAGTGTGAAGGGTGTGGTTAACTGTCAGATCCACTTAAAGGCTGGAGTAAGGACAGTAATGAGTAATCTGGGAGCTTGGAGTTCTTGTTAACTTTACTGAGAAGTTTAAACAGTCGTGTGAGCTGAGTCCCATTAAAGTGGTTGCTTGAAAAGTAAATGGGAGGTGAGGGAGTAAGAGTGGAATGAGCGCAACTCTTTGGGAGAATACTAACTTGGAAGAAAAGAAGAAAAATAAAAATTGATGTAGGGTTAGTAAAGGGTTTTCCTAAGCTATTAGAGACTAGAAGATTTGTGGGCCGAGGAATAATTTAGAATATAGAAGGATATGAATGATGCAGCAGAAAGCTGGAGTTAAATTCTCAGGATAGCAAGAGGGGATGGAATGGAGAGCACAAGTGGAGGAGCTGGGCTACTCTGAGTTTGTGCAGGACCTTCTTGCATTTAGCACTGAAAGTCTAGCAGCCAGGGAAACATATTGGTTACAGGCAAACTATTATTGGGCTCTGGTTGGCTCTACCCTGCAGCAGGCTTCTTCTCGTCTTTCACGCACCTTCTCAAATGTCATCAACTAAAGGTTCCTCTGATCACTCTGAAGTAGGCCCCTCTTCCATCTTCTTTGATCCAAACAATCATACATTCTGTAGCTATTGTTAATATTTATTTAGTGGCAAGGCTGTGGAGAAATAGGAACACTTTTACACTGTTGGTGGGAGTGTAAATTAGTTCAACCATTGTGGCAAACAGTGTGGCAATTCCTCAAGGATCTAGAACCAGAAATACCATTTGACCCAGCAATCCCATTACTGGGTATATGCCCAAAGGATTATAAATCATTCTATATAAAGCCACATGCACACATATGTTTACTGCAGCACTATTTACAACAGCAAAGACTTGAACCAACCCAAACACCTATTAATGATAGACTGGATAAAGAAAATGTGGCACATATACACCGTGGAATATTATGCAGCCATGAAAAAGAATGAGATCATGTCGTTTGCAGGGACATAGATGAAACAAGAAGCCATCATTCTCAGCAAACTAACACAGGAACACAAAATCAAGTACCATGTGTTCTCACTCGTGAGAGTTAAACAATGAGAACACATGGACACAGAGAAGGGAACAACAAACACCAGGGCCTCTTGGGGGGGTGGGGGACAAAAGAAGGAAGAGCATTAGGGCAAATACCTAATGCATGCGGGGCTTAAAACCTAGATGACAGGTTGATAGGTGCAGTAAACCACCATGGCACATGTATACCTATGTAACAAACCTGCACATTCTGTACATGTATCTCAGAACTTAAAGTAAAAAATAAAATAAAATAAATATTTATTTAGTGTATCTCTTCCACTAGAATGTAAGCTGCATACCCCTTAGCATATTCACCTAATGTTAACATTTTCCCTAGTTGTTCTTTTTTTCCCACTCCCTCTCTGCTTTGCTCTATTCTAGCCTTGCCTCTGTGCTTTATCCTTTTTCTCTGTATATATCTGATCACATAACATTGTTTCTGAACCATTTGAGGATAAGTTATATACACCAGGACTCTTTATTCCTAAATACGTCAAATACCTAGAAATTACTTTGTAGGAATAATGATACTCTCTTCTATACCTACGTTATAGGTATCAATTCAGTAAATTCAGCATCAATGTAATATTTAATCTACCATCCATATTCCGATTGTGTGAAGTGATCCAATAATGTTCTTTATGGTATTTTTATAGCTTTACTGAGGCATAATTGACCAAAAAACTGTACATA